CGCTAACTGCTGGTCCCTCCCATTGTGAGTTTTAAGATGCTGGGTCCAGCGCTCAAACAATGATCAACTTCGTAGGAGTCAAGCAATGTAACCATTACTCCAACTGCTAGCTCCCAACGAGCCACTTCTTAATACTAACACAATAGATACGAGATTTCAACATATGACTTTGGAAGTACACATGCATTCAAACCAAAAAAAAAAAGTACATTCAAGGGTTTATTTCTGAGCTCGCTGATATTTCCCATTGGCCTACATGTCTGTCTTTGTGTTATTATCACAGTATTTTGATGATTGTAACTTTAAAGTAAGCATGGGTCTTCCATTTTTGTTCTTTAATCAAAATATTCTGGCTACTTAGGGTCCCCTGAAATATATGAATTTCAGGGTGGATTTTCCAATTTTTGCAATAAAAGTTGTTGAATTGTTTTAAGTTTATAAATTCAATTCATAAGACCTAGGGATAGAGAGAGACAAACATCTTAAAATAGGGTGTCATTCCATGGTACACCTTTCAGTCTTTCCAACCTGCTAGGGTCATGAGTGTGTGTGCCGGTTCCTGCACACAGGGAAGGAACCCGCGATCTGGCACATGGACTTGATTTGGGGAGCTTTATACTATTTTTTCCTAGATTTTTGGTGTATAGGTGATACCCCTTCTTATTTTTCCATTTGACTATGCTTTAGAAAAAATGTAAATACACAGTAACTTTTCTCTAATGGTAAAGATTTGAAATATGAGCAAGAGGGTGCAGCATGAACACAGCATAGCCTTTCACTGAAGCTAGCAGTATTGTATTTGGGATAACTGAATTCTGTAATATGCTACATTTACATTCAACAATGTTATAAAATAAATGTATTTTCGTCAGCAACATATCACATCTAGAAGTTTTAAAGTACTTTTTAACTATTTTTATATGGATTGCTGCTTAACATTGTTACAAATGGAGCTCCTAAGATTTAGAGGCAGGCAGTTTTCTGGTTAGGGCTACAGAAGTGTTTATGAAATAATCCATACATGTAGTTGGAAAAATACCATACAGGTTTGTGCCAAAATTGTACATAATTTTTATTGTTGTATTTCCTTAAAAAAATGGAAAAATCAACATGAACATACCTGATATCATGCTCTCTGGGCAGCCAGGCTGACAGTTTGCTCACCAAATCAGAACGTGTTTTATTTTCAATTGAAAACACACAGACTTTTACACATACTCACTTTCTATGCACATTTATGTGTGCCCTTGTGCGTGTTCACATGTACACGCACATGCCTATGCACTTGCTTATACCTCCCTGCTGCCACTATATAACTGGAAGAATGTCCATGAGGATCTCAAACAGTTGGAGATTTATGAATCCAGTGCAGTATTACAACCAGCCAGCTTCCAGCACTGGAACTAGACTGTAATCTTGTACTTAGTTGTGCTACCACTCCTTCATAATAAAATAGCAAATTGAAGTGATTTTCAAATAGTGTGGGAGACCAAAGGGAAATCTTTTCTGCCTTCAGTAAGCACAGAAGGCTTTTAACGAGCCACGGATGACTCCCCTACTACACGGTGCGTTTAGCCACTTCCTGCTTTCTGTACTCACAGAAGCTGCGATTATCAAATTCTAAAGCAGTAGTTTGAAAAATGACCTCACTTTTGAGAATTTATGGGCTATATATGTTTATGTATTTTATTTCTGCTTGCCATGGGGAGTTGAGTGTCTGCTATTGACATAAAGTTTATAAAGCACTTCAAGCTTCTGGGATAGAAAGGATGTGACTACAAAGAAGGGTAAAAATATTAAAGAAGGGTAAGATGGAGGTATTGACCCTAGAAGTCGCTTTCTCATTCATATGAATTTTTTTACATTTTAGTTATGCAATTTTTATTTTAATAGAAACTATATAGGCAGAGGAGATACAGACCACATGGAGAGATGACTTTGGGCTTGCAAGGAGAAGTAGAAAGCAATTTAATAAAAAATAATTCATAGTGTATAAGGATCATAGAAAATTGAGCTTGAATCTTTGCTACTTAAAAATGTGTCACATATTATTTTATAAGTTTTATGATAATTGATTCAATCCTTATAATAATTGTGTGAGGTAGGTAATATTGATATCCATTTTTTTTTTCTCAATCATTATAATAATTGTGTGAGGTAGGTAGTATTGATATCCACTTTTTTTTTTTTTAAGATTTTTGCTGAAGTATGCATGTGCTCACTGAAGAAGGATAGAGAGACAGAGACAGTGAGAGGGAAAGTGAGAAATCACCCCCTAAGAGGTGAGGGCCAAGCTGCAATCCCTTCTCCATTCTCCTCCCGGGGTCTTGGGCATATATGCATACACATTCAGCATGACTCTCAAGTCACCAAGACTGGAACTTAAACCATAGTTGGCCATGTGGGGGTCCAGTGATGGAATGACTTTGCCAACTGGCTCCAATATCTGCATTTTGTAGATGAGTAAACAGAGGTAGAGAGAAGTTGGTACTGCACCCAGGGTCACATAGCCAATAAATAGAATAGCCAAATGAGCTGAGATAGGGCTTCAGGCACTCATAGCAATACTAGTTCTGGCAGCCACCATCAACTGAACACTCGTTTTTTTCTCCACACTTTTGTATGTCTTACCTACATGACATATATAATAAGAGCTGAAAAATTGATTGATTTTTAAAACTTAAATTATGAAGCCAGTTCATGCATGGTAGTGGTGGCAGCTGAAGCTTACATGGCAACTATGTGGTTCGAGTCCTGGACCCAGTGGCTTGAGAAACATGCCAGGCACATGTGCACACATATCCTGAATGGAGGGAGTGATGAAGAAGAACTACAGCGTGACCATCCCCCATGGGGGCTGATCTTTCACTTTTTCTCTCTCTCTTTCTCCCCCTCTCTCTCTTGCAAATGCACGCCCCCTCTAGCAAAACGTTTTTAAAATCTAATTGTGAATTATACCACTTATAAAGATTTACTAGAAGAATGCTTATAAGTAAATATTTTATTTATAACATATTGTTTCTTTATATTTTAATTGATTTATATTTCAGCAGAATAAAAAGGACATCTGAATCAAATATTTATCACTGCTAATTTACCTGTAGCAGTCATTTGGTTCAATTTTTAACAGCTATTTAGATTATTTGCTATCTTATTTGCCATTATATCTTGCTCTAGGATAGAACTGATACTCCCCCCAATTTTTTTAATTAAAAGGAAAGAAGAGAAAAAGAAAACCAACCTATCCCAAGCATCATTAGATAATGAGTCATTCTGTTATGCGTCTGATAAGAAATGCGCTTTGGATAGACATAATGGAAGGGCGTAAGTAGACATGCATTTCAAGTACTATTGGGGATTCTGGTAAATTATTCTAAAATAATTTAGACCATTTATAGGTGAAACGAATACAAGCTATAAGATAACACATTCTGAGAATGACTACAGTTCCTGTTATTATGAATATCATTTTGCCTTAAAGAGCATACTCCATTGAGATCCGTAGAGCTAGACGTATTCTCTATAATAATCTGATGATTTTGCTGAATTCAGCTTGTGGTGTTGAATCTGGATATCAAATCTAGTCACAGAGTAAGTGTAGCACTTTTAATATTGAAATCAGTTGGAAGAAGAGGTACAAAATCAAGAAAAAAATCAATGAAAATAAGATCAACAGAAAAAGATGGGGTGCAAATAGAACTTGTCCAAATATCATAGGGCAAAAACAAAGAGAAAGAGAAAGGATGTTTTATTTTCACACTATAAAGGAAAATAATATGACATACCAAATGTCAAAAGTCCAGCATTTTCTTTTCTTTTTCTTTTTTTTTTTTTTTGGCTTTGTACTTTTTTTTTATTAGTGTTATGTATTATTTTTATACATTTAGTCATTATACATCATTTAATTTGTAAAGAGATTTTACCCAACATGATATACGCCACACAGCAGATGAGTTGATACTACTATACATGTCTTCACCAACAGACAACAAACCATATCTGTGTAACACAAACACACACACACACACACACACACATGCACATGCCTGGCATATTTTTCAAGCAGCTGGATCCAGGACTCAGACCTTGCAGTTGGCCATGTAGAATCCAGGTCCTTAACTACCATGCCATCTTCTGGCCCAAAGTCCAACAATTTTGTAAGAAGAAAAATATTTATATGTTTGTTGACAGATATGTGTTTAAGAATACAGCAATATGTAAATATGTGACTTCTGCTAGGGATAAATATATTTTACCTTAGTAATTCTTCTTTATATTTTGGTTTATTTTACTGTTAAAAAATACTTTCATAGCATGTGATGGCTTTTCAAATGTTAAACATATTATAAGCACACGTGGAAATCTAACCTCCTGGTGCTTTCTCAGCTTTGTAAATTTGCACCACTATGTAAAACTAATGTTTTTAAATATACACTACACTTTCAAGGAAAAATCACTTTTAGAAGAATGTCTTGAAGCTTTTGTTTAAAAATAAATTTCTGTTGAAGAAATTTTCTTCTCTCTCTTTTTGTTTCCTATATAGTTAGGCAAATAAACTTACAAGGAACAAAGTTGATTGAACCAATGAACTTGAGTCATTGTTGGTATGTATACATCAATTTAAGGTGTTCATCATTATAGATAATGTGTAAAATATTATATTAGATAATGAAATGTGATAAAGCAAAATTAATGGCTCTGAGGTAATCAAGTTTCATTTCATCTTTCATCATTTGAAATTATATATATATATATATGTATAATAATATGGCAAATAAATTTATGGGAGAAATCAATTACATTATTAAGGGTACATCCTCCTGACTTATTAACACTCTAATATATCACGGTAACAGAGAAATGCACTCTAGGGAAGATGCTGCTATTCTTCACTGAAAAATCCATGAATAACATTATGTGAAAAATGAATTTATGATAAATGATTTAAATCTAGAACTCAGAATAGCTTATTTAAATGCCATCACAAAAGAACACCTCACCCGCAAAAAGGAGTCTAGGGATCCATTCTCCATATATTCCACCACAATCATTACTGGTCTGCCTGCAAGAGAGCAGAGAACACGCAAGGATTAGAGCAATTACAGAAGTACGTGCTGCAGTTAGAGGTTTCCAGCTGTGGCAGCTAAATTATTTGGATGTTATTAATAGGAACTTCATTTTCCAACCTGCTTCTATAAAAGTACTCATATTATACATAGGCATCTCTTGATAGCTTCATAGCATCATTGCCTTTTGAGTTCATAAAAAAGGGAGATGAATTACAAAGGACTTAAGCATTTACTGTCCTAGAGCCCTGCAATCACTTGTTTAGCTTACACTATTTCTGTCCTCTAGCTTTTCCGTGGAAGAAAATCATCAAGCTGATGTCAGGGTGTTAGCAGTTACTGGAGTGGCTTTTGCAGTCATGGTACAACATCTATAGTGGTGCAGGAATTAGGTGGACTTACATTAGACGGGGCATTTCCGAAATACTTCAAAGGCAAGGCAGAAAGGAGAAATCCATAAATTCTTTATAACAACTTATACATCATTAGCCATAGTCTAATGACGTTTTATTTATTTATTTTTTTAGGATTTTTGCCATAAGATGTGTGTGTTCGCCAGAGAGAGATAAAGACAGAGAGAGGAAAAATGAGAAATCATCCTGTCACTAGGGTGGCTATGCTGCAATCCCCTCTCCATTCTCCTCCGGAGATTGTGGGCCAAAGTCTGCTTTTATGGGCTTTTAAGCAGAAAATGTCAGTAGATAGACAAATGCAACAAAGTTGGTAAAATTTGCAATGGTTCCTGATTATCTCTTTATTGGACATATATTTAATCAACAGAGCAATGATAACAGCACATGAAAATAAGTAATTGTGATTTTGCAGTCTAGTGTAGAAGCTAAGATCAGAAATTGAACATCATTTCTTTCTTTTTTTTTTAAAAAAAAACATATAAATTTGTTACAGTTTCCAATATACCTCGATTAGGTAGAATATTCGACATAACTTCGATTTGTTTCAAAGAAGAGAATGCATTTATTCTGCTCAATTGCTCAAGTTTAAAAAATAAACTGATTTCAGATGAAGGGAAAATGATATTTACCTGAAATAAGCATGTATGACATATTTGCTTTTTACTTCTATATTCCTTGCTTCTCGATGGAATTTTTAGCAATTCAATATGCACTATGCACAGTTTTTCCTTTGAACACTAGAAAACCTGGAAAGAAATTGTATGTGCCAATATGCAAATATTATATCTCATTGTAATTCATGTCTCTTTTATGAACTCAAAGCCTTGCAGGTTAGAAAGAGTGACCATCACAAATTAGGAAAGTGTATGTAAATGGTAAGATTTTACATTTGAATATATATTTTAAAGAAGATGCCCTAAAGGTTAAATGTAGTAATAAAGCTCCCAATTGATCATGCATAAAATTAGGACCAAAGAAGTTTTCTATTTTCAGTGAATATTAAGTTAAATTCTATAATGTTCCTCAAAGTCATTAATTTTGCCCAAATACAAATGAAGAAATTTATCAGCAGTTATTGAGGTCAAATGGATTATAGGCAAGAACCTAAATGGTCCAAGATTTAGGGACCAGGAATTAGCGTAATGGCCATGTCTTTGCACTCCCATGTAGTCAACTGTGGTTCGAGTCCTGGACCCGATGTTTTAAACTCACACTGGGTGCGTGTGCGAGCATGCCCAAGATCTCGAGAGGAGAATGGAGGAGAAGAGATTGCAGTGTGGCCATCCTCCCGGGGAGTGATTTCTCGCTTTCTGTCTCTCTGGCTCTCTCTGTCTTTCTGGCGAGTGCACGTACCCTGTAGCAAAAAAGATCCAAGATTTAAAACTGAAAGTTTGATATAAAATCTTTTATTCGGCCAGTGGTTTCAGAAAACTTGGCAACAGGAGACTGATAAATACACAGCAAGGTGGAGGAAATAAAAGGTCATTTCTATACTTAGATATAAAAATTCTGGGACCAAAGTATCAGTTTGCATGATAATGAATTATGAATGTTAAGGGGGAAAGTCAAGTTACTATAGTGATGATTATTATTTTTTTTTTTTTGAGAGGTTTTTGCTATAGGATGTGTGCGTGTGCCAGAAAGGCAGAGAGAGACAGAGAGACAGAAAGCGATAAATCACCCCCCAGGGGGGATGGCCACACCACAATCCCTTCTCCTCCATTCTCT